TCAACCAAAGAAAACGAAAACCTCTCTTTCTTCCTCAGGAAAAATCTTAAACCATGTTTTAGTTTTAGTAGTATATATAGCAGTCATAAAGGGTGAAAATTATAAGATTGTCTCTACCAAATTCCGATGCCCATGTCTTTTGTTTCCGTTACCACATTGTCTTAAAACAAGCACCTTGAAAAGTTCTTTACTCCCCTGTGGATTTCTCACCAGGTAAACACGATAACTATATAGCTATTCCCTATTAGCTTCTATTTTCTTTTTCCCTTTCTATTTCTTCACAGTTTCTCCTTTTCTTGCATGTTTTCTAAGCCATTAACACAAGGCTATTGCTTTGTTTCATATATATATATGGTTATTGCATGTTGCTTATCACTATTCCTTTCATGATCTTTTCTTATATCTCTCTGTCTTGTGGTTTTATGATTAATGGGTTTTGGTTCTTTTGATGAATTCTTATATAGTTATTGTAATTCATTCTTGTTTTCTTGGTGTTAGTGGGTTTTGTTCTTGGATTCAATTGGGTGTCTCTTTGTGGGCTGATGGGTCCTGTAAGAGGGTCAAAAAAGAGAAAGAAGGTAGAGAAGAAGCCCGAAGAGAATGCTTCTGCTTCTGGTTCTTCAGAGAAGGAAGGCTCTGTTGATTGGTGGGATGAACTTTCGAAGAGGATGAATGGTATTCTTTTTTTCCTTTTCTTTTGAACAAATTTATTGCTTCAACTGTGTTAAAGTCTCTTGACTTTTGTTATGCTAGTATCATCTTTATTTTTGAAACTGTTCTTTTTTGCTTGTGGTGTGTTGATATTTGCTGTATTTGATCATTCATGGGACGGTAGATATTTTAATTTCCATTAGCGGCTGATAGCTTTTTAGCTCATGGGTTGAGTATAATTTTGTCAAATTTAACTGGCTTTACGATTCACATCGTATTCGAGTCTTATGTCTTGATACATGGAAAATGCATCTGGGAACATATAAGCAGGATCCCTAATCTGGCTTTGAAGTTGTTCTTTTGACCTAACATTCTGGTTTTGTTTCTTATTCAATAGGGGAGAGGATAAGATTATCCTTTTTTTATTATTGTGATAGTAACTGTAAGCATGTACTAAAGTCCAAGGGAATAAGGTTATATTAATTTTGTAGACAATGTTGTTGCTTATAATTATTCTTTGGTTTCCAAGGAAATCCTGCCTTAGCTCTGTTTGAATATGATAATCATTTGAAGCTCATAAGGTTTAAGTTTTTTTCAAATCCATCGCAGTTGAAAAACTGATTCTTGTCTTACCTTTGAAGTTGCGAATTGATTTACTTTGAGCAAGTCTTTAACTGGAAAGCTAATGGGGATTCTGTTAGTGAGAAGTGAAATTGGAGATAAAAGGGTTGTAATTGTGGATAACTAGAGTGTCTGTAAGTTAAGACTTGGAAATATTAGCCAATGTAGGTAAAATCACATATAGTTCTCTTATCCTTCATTGATATTGATTTTTGGTTCATCGAGATATGTAGAGATAAAGTTGTTTCCTAGTTTTTGCTTCAGCTGGAACTTATGAGACTTGTTAAGCCTTGTTATGCAAAGATAATTAGCTTCGATTGCAATCTGTACATATGTTCATTGTGCTAAAATAGGACCATGGAACAAAGCTTTGCCACCATATCATTTGGAATTTTTTTCCCTCTTTTCATCTATAAACAGAAGTTTTAGATCTGCTACTTAGCACTTAGCAGCAGCATCCCTTGATCTTGAAGATTCCTCTATTGGTTAAAGTTAACTTTTACTATGCCTAGTATAGTTAAACTACTGTTCCATGATTTCATCTGATGGGAGATAGGTTTTGGTCATTAATTGGTAATGCAAGGAACAGAATACTGCATTCTTGGGATAAGGAGAAAGTAACCTTTTCTTGGCAAAGTAATTATAGCTCACGATTAATAAACTCAACAAAATGTAGGAACAAAACATAGGAGCTATATCATGTTTAATGCCCTTTTTATATGACCGTTCTTTCCTTCAGTCTGTCAGATCAGAATAAAATGATGAGAGCCACTCTGAATTTAGTAACTATCTCCTTTCCTCTCTCAACTGGATGTAAATTTTCCTTCTGATGACAAGTAACAGAAAATGTATTAATTTTGTCCAAGTGAAACTTCTAGGTGACTAGTAGCAGCTAAAATCCATGCATACTACCAGCAAGAATGCCATGCTGTTAATACATCAATGTAGCTGTTTTTGTCTACTCTTGAGTTGCAATAATCTGTAATGAGGCACATCAGATTACAAAGGAAGCTGTCCAGTTTCAGATTACATGTACTGTTTGCATGTTTAATTTTCCACAGTAGACATGTTATATTTCATATAATAATACAATTAGATTTTCATATGTATGATGCTGACATTAACTGAAATAACCATAAAGGGAGTCACGATGCTCAGGTCTACTCAATAGTTTGAACTCCGATGACTTTTTTCCAATGAAAAGGGACCAGAAAAGTTCTATCTTTCAATAGAATATAATCCTGATCCTTCTAAAGCCTACATATAGATAATTTTTATATATGGTCCATATGTGTGAATGATGCTTTCTTCTTATTGGCCCTTTCTCTCTATAGGTCTTCAATCCTCATCTAAAGGTCTTGATAAGTTCAAATCTGTTTTGAAAATTTCGCAAAGAACCTTCAACTACATATGTTCCCTTGTGAAGGAAGATATGATGGCTAAGCCAGGAAATTTTACATTTTCAAATGGTAAACCAGTGTCTTTTGAAGATCAAGTAGCTGTAGCTTTGAGAAGGCTGAGTTCCGGTGAATCACTAGTGAATGTTGGTGATGCATTTGGGCTGCACCACTCAACTGTCTCCCAATTGACCTGGCGCTTTGTAGAGTCTATGGAAGAAAGAGGTCTTCACCACCTGCAATGGCCTTCCACTGAAGCAGAAATGGCAGAAATAAAGTCCAAATTTGAGAAGATTCAAGGTCTTCCTAATTGTTGTGGTGTGATTGACGCTACTCATGTTATGATGTGTTTGCCATCATCAGACCCTGCAAGTAAAGTGTGGCTTGATCACGAGAAGAATCACAGCATGGTCCTGCAGGCAATTGTTGACCCTGAAATGAGGTTCAGAGATATAGTCACTGGCTGGCCAGGTAAACTTGAAGACTGGTTGGTGTTTCAGAGTTCAAATTTCTATAAACTATGTAATAAAGGAGAGAGATTGAATGGTAAAAAAATTGAGCTCCCTGAAGAAACAGAGATAAGGGAATACATAATCGGCGATTTGGGCTATCCTTTATTACCCTTTATGGTTGTACCTTACGAAGGGAAAGAACTTCCAGAGATAAGAGCTGAGTTTAACAGAAGGCATTCTGCAACTCGGCTAGTGGCACATAGGGCATTGGCAAGGCTCAAGGAAATGTGGAAAATTATCCAGGGGGTAATGTGGAGACCTGACAAACATAAGTTGCCAAGGATCATCCTGGTTTGCTGCTTGCTTCATAACATTATCATTGACTTGGAAGATGATGTGCAAGATGAAATGTCTCTGTCTCATGACCACGATGCAGGTTACCACCAACGAATTTGTGGCTCGTTTGACGTCAAGGGTGTATATATGAGAGATAAGCTTTCTCTCTACTTGTCAGAGAAATTGCCACCATAATGTTTTCTTCATTCTCTACTTGTCAGGGTAGTTTCCTTACATTACATACAACAGGTTTAAATAGATCATTGGCTAACAATAATTTTATTTGAAGTTGGTTTCTTTTGTTTTTATTTTCATCAATTGTAAAAGGTATGATGAGAAGTTGATTTCTCTTTTAAGGCTCCTCAGATTATGAAGTGATGGTTGAGACAGCATGGGAGAAATGGGTTTTTTTATTTTTCATTAGTTCATAAAAATGTTCACAGGTGACTTCGGTATTGGAAGCTAAATACCGTCTCTCCTCCGGTGTTTACAACCTGCCCATTTGGACTTGGCTGGGCTGCCGTTCCTGCTGGCAGGTGATGGTCAAAGGTCTTTGACTCTATCTCATGATTGAAGAAATCGAATTTTCAATAGCAGAAGATGATGAAATGGGGAAAAAGAACTCGTTTTGGTTGACAGAATCTAAACATATTGTTACCGTATTGGCTAATTCAGCCTCTTTTCAACTTTGAGGTCTTTTACATTGGTACTTGGCATGGAGCCACTTTCATTTGGTTTCATTCAGGGCACATATTTACCATTATGGTTGCGTTTGGTTCGTGAAATATAGTGGAAAAATGTGGTAAATTAGGTAGAGGAAATAACTTTCCCATGTTTGATTGGTGGAATCTAATTTTATGTGGAAATGTCATTCCCATCACTTTCCCATTCAAGTGGGAAAGTGGTGGGAATGACATTCCCACCTGAAAGGGTAGAAAAGTTAACTTTCCCACGAAAGTGTTACTATTTTTATCTTGACTTTCCTCTTATATTCTCAAATTTTAATGACTTTTCTCTTATACCCTCAAATTTTAATGGCTTATTAACTATTTAACCTTATCAAATTTTTGAAATGTAAGCTTGGAGGTAAGGTTATACTTTGCACACCTTGGGAATGTCAGATTTTGACGTTAACTAAACATGGTAATCCGATTCCCACAAAAACAAAAAATATATATTTTCCCACTAAAATAGCATTCCCAGAAAAGAGGTGGAAATGACATTCCCATATGATATCTAAGATATCACGAACCAAACGCTAGTGGTTAACTATCATTACTATTTCTTTCTTTTCGCCCCAACCGGTAAATGTTGCATTCCGTAATTTGATTATTATGTTACTACGAATTGCTGAGTGATTGGATCGAAAATAAGAAAACAAAATGGTAATAAAATAAGAAATAATTTCACCAAAGTGGAAAACAAGGGGAAGTACGTAATCCACTGATTCCCATTGGCCAAGAAAATAAGCGAAGGCTGCAAACAAAGTATATATATGGGCCCTTCTTAGGCCCAACTTCAAAAAAGTAAAGATTAAAAAAATTCCGACCTGCCGGATTCGAACCAGCGACCTAAGGATTTTCTGTTGGTTTTGATCCCACTACAGTCCTCCGCTCTACCAACTGAGCTAAGGTCGGGCGATGATGAAACCGATCAGTAAATTCCATATAGCTTTTTGCTTTATTGTCAGTGGAGAAAACAACAGAACTACTTCACTAAAGGCAATCCACTAGTCATAAGTTTGAGTCACGACATAGCCAACAGAAATAATTCCATTTAAGCATAGCTCAGTTTATCTACACTGATAATGGACAACTTCATGTTCTACATTTTTAAACTAGGATTTCGCTACTGCCGTTTGTTACCAGAACCATCTGCAAAACTAGATCAAAGAGCATTCAGTCATTGAATTAGCTAAGGTATTTGTCAAAAGGCACATAAGAAATAATGAGATGGGTTTTGAATTTGATAATAGAGAAAAAAAAAAATACCTTCAAAGTTCAAAGCTAGGATGGTCAAAATTGGTCCTGGATGGATAATATAAATGTCTCGGACCATGTTTGCTGTATGAATTCTGGAACCACAGATTCTTCTAAAAATGGGTTCCACATACTTCCACTTCGTCCACCAAGAACCCATTTTACTTTAGCTGGAGGGCTGGTGAAATCAAGCATTGGATCAACCTCTACAACAGATTTTTGTTTCTTCCCAGAACTCGAAGGCTGGAAAAAAAATTTAAAAAATCAAGGCATTAATGGATATTGGAGACTGTAAAAAATAGCAGAAGGGACAATCATAACTTTAATCTTCATATAGTTATTTTCTCTAACTCACCGAAGAACCTTTTGCTGGTGGCAGAGCAATTTGTAGGGAGCTGTCCCCAGCACAAATGTATTTGATATGGCTTGAATTCTGAAGTAGTAGTAATATAAACTATATAACCCTGAATTCCACTTTAAGAAAAGAAAACAGTATAAATTACTACAGTTAAACTGGGGTGCCTGCCTTTGATACCTTGGATGCAGCTGCTCTTGCTTCCATCTCTGCAAGGTATCTCTCAACAGCTCTCAAAGAACGAAATCGATGTCCAGTTCCAGGCTCAATGTAATACTGCAGACACAATTATATCATTTCTAAATTCTAAATTGAAAATTGAAGATTCCTTATAGACAAGTAAGCTGGGTATCAGTCTTTCTCTTCTTCACTCAGTTAAAAGTTAAATCTCAAAAATAGAATGTATCTTTTTGACTCTGAGCTTGTATATACAAGTTTATTACTATCTTAAACCATCAAATAGGAAATAAAAGACTTCTAATAGAAAGAAAGCAAGAACTGAAAAGCACAATTAAACAAACCGCTAAGACTGGATCATTTAGGTGTAGACAATGTCAAGATGTAAGAAGAAAACAAGCCAAAAACTCTAAAGAGCAAGAAATTGAACATGCAAGAGTACCCTGTCAACAACTCCAGCATAGTTAATGTTGGAACGGGGCTTTTCCTCAACAGTCCAATCATGAGGCAGCTTGAATGGTGTAGCACTCTTGAATGAATGTGGCACAATTTGCATCTGCAAAACATACCGGCACAGTTGGTACATTGAAACTAATTAAGCAAGAACACAACTACTAATTTTTAATGGCAGGACAAAATTGAAAACCCATTTAGCAATTCGAACTCACAGACTCATAATCGCGAGGTTTTACTCTCTGCCCCTGGGTTGCATTTGCAAGAGTATAATCCATCTCTTGAGATAGGTATTTATGAACAGCTATGAGGGAACGAAACTGCCTTCCAGACCCGGGTTCATAGTAATACTGCAGGGAAAATAAACAATGGAATCTAAACATTTTCAATGCATGAATTTCCAAGCACAGTTAACACATCCTTATCATCAACGATTCAACATCCAGAGTGTTTGAAACAGAGTGATGATATCAATTAAGCTTGAAAATGCATGCGAATGAAGTCCAATTTCAACAATTATTTGGGCCAAATAGACATAGTATAAAGATTTAGTAAAAATGTCGATCCCCTCGATCTTCACCATCTTCAATTGTTAAAGTTTTTCAAAAATTTAACCCAAATTAAAGCATATATATAAGATAAATAACTCAAATGTCAAAAAGAAATGCATGCATGCAAGTAGATTAAGTTCGTAAGCTAAATCTAAAATTTCCCAAAAACAGAGAGAGAGGGTAGAGGAGGAAGAAACCCTGTCAACTCGGCCGGGATGGCCTGCAGAGGTAACACGTGGCCGTTGCTCGACGACCCAACCACCTGGCAACTTGATAGGTGATCTTGACATGGGTGAGGAGGGGCTCGACTCCACAATCTGCAGCTGCATTTCGCTGGGATCGTGGGCTTCTGGTTCTTGGGTCGCCGGAGCTGTCTTCTTCTTCTTGGCCGGTGACGATTTGGTCCTCATTCTTTGGCTTTTCGGGAATTGTTTCAAGTTCTGGTTCTTTTTTCCTTCTCCGGTGAAGTTGTTCTTGTCCACCGGTCAAAATAAAATGGGTTCGCTTTTGAGAGAAAATTATATCGGGTCGGATCGGTTTATCTCATGCAAATGGCAAACCCATTTTTATTCTAAATAAATATAAATAACCTAATACTAAATAAATTAAAAGAAAACAAGCACGGAAAAATTTTATATCATATTATGTTTATTGAATTTATTTGAATTAATTTGTTTTGATTTTTAATTAATATAATAACACTATTTTTCTATTAAAATTGATGTTTAGGCATGGCAAGCATTGTTTTTCATCTAAGGAGGAGAATCTAACTTGTAAAAATTTACTTAGTATGTTTTCTACTTTATTGAAATTGGGTTTTGAGACTCTTATTTGAGCTTATTATGAAAGTTTGGGTCCTAAATTGACATTACAGGTACAACCATATCAATATGGGGTAGAGGAATTCCATCATACATCCATACTGATTGTATTCTTTCCTTACTAACTTTGTATATTTAAATTAAGATTGAGCTTGAGCTCAAAATATATATAATATAATATTGTATCATTTGCACTAATTAGTTATCCACATTTCTTGCACCATAGTATATGAGCTCAAAACTGGTAATTTTTCGTCTCAAATTATCTGACTCTTTTGGGTCAAACCCATTTTACTTTGACCTTTAATTATAAAAAAATACATATACAATCAAATTTTCAAAAATATGTTTTGAAAAACTTAAGATTTAACTTAATCAAAACATAACTTTTAAAATTTTTATTTTTTTTATAATTAAGATCAAAATTGGGAATATTTTGACCCAAAAGAGTTGGATAATTTGGGACAGACGTAGTAATATGCATGTTTTCTAAATCAAGAGGTAATTTTATGTTCCTACTGTATGTGTATAGAATTTTCGCAGTTTTATGTTGATTTTGTTAATTTGTTATGATAATTTATTTCTCATTGCATATTTAAAATTATAATAAATTATTTGATTTTAATGAGATTTTTTTTGGCAAAAGATTTTAAACATGTTAATGAGATTTGAATATATATATGGTATGCTACTAAAATAATTAAGTTATTCACGTTACCTAATAAGTTATTCACGTTACCTTAAAAAGTGAAAAATGAAAGAAATTGAAATTAATTTTAAAACATAGTTATTTTACTTATCAAATCTTTAAACAATGGCATGTTTGACTATAGTCCTATATATTTCTATTCTAGCTCTCTAATGAATGATAGTTTTTACTTAAAAATTCAGGATATAGAGATTTAGTATATTTTGTGGCGAAGATGATGAATGCAATGAGATAATAGATGGTACATAAAAATAGTAATTAAAGATCACTTGTATGTAGTATAATAGTGATATCTAATTAAAGATTACTTGTAGTCTGTTTTACTATATGTTATGTTAGTCAAAGCAAATGCATTTGATCATAGGTGACGGTTGTATGACATACTTAGGTAGGTCACTCATCCATGAGACAGGTAAGGGATTAGTTTATTAATTAAGCACTATTACTCAATAATATTATTATATTCTCCATGTTATTTCTATGACTTTTTTTTTTTGAATGAATGAAAAGAAAGTGGTGATACTACATAATTAGATTGTTTGAATTTGAACAAACTGACTAAAACCTCACATTATTGCAAAAAAAAAAATAAAAAATTAAGAAGATTATTTTGAAAACATGGACGTGTTTAAGGATCAATAAGATATTTGCGTTCTAATAATTATATATACTTGCCTGGCTGCTAGGAATTAGGAATCGAATCCAATGCCTGCTTTTTCCCCTCTATAATATTAATAAATACCCAAGAAAAAAAGGACTTAAGACTAACAAAAAAGGTAAAATTTAACCAATAATATGGAATATTCTTTTCCAATCCACGTGCATGGATAAATATATAGATTTTAAAACCACAATACTGTTATTGAATTACTATGAGCTTGTTTGACATCGTTTCCATTTTTTGTTTTCTGTTGCCAATTTTCTGTTTTTGGAAACAAAATAGTGAAAACATGTTTGACAGACTGTTTCTGTTTTCAAAAATTTTGGAAACAGAAGCAGTGTTTTGGAAATAAGTGGAAACAAGAATTTTGTGTTTTCATGTTTTTCCAAAACACTTCCAAAACACAGAAACACAATAATGACCAGTAACTCACATGCTTTTTAATCATTTTTTTTTCATTTTTCTATTTAAAAACATACAACAAAATTGTATATCCAAACATGTTTTTGTTTTAAAAATTGACAGCGTAACAAAAACAAAACGAAAATGAAACAAAAACAAAAAACAAAAAAACGAAAACGATGACAAACGACCCCTATATTTTTGTGGATGAATTATTATTATTATGTTATAATAATTTGATGAAGAAAGTCAAACACTTTGAAAATTGCTCGATCAAAATGGGTTACGGTCAAGTACAAAGTTAAGTACTTTTATTTGGATTGAATTAGTTTACCAAATCAGGGCGAAAAAGTATCAAAACATGAAACAACGTGAAGAAGAAAAGAATTGAAGGAGGACTGAAATGAGTTTGTATAAATACTTTAATTTGTCGAATCTTAGGTTGTTGATAAATCAGGGTACGTTTACCATTCATATTTTTTTGTGGTCCAATCTGCAGGCTGTTTACACTCGGAAAGTGTCTTCAATT